CCCGCCGGCAGCCCGACCCCCAGGATCCTCTGGATGAAAGGTGGGGGGCTGCCCGCGCTGCCTCGGTGGGTGAGTGCTGGGGGGAGGGAGGGGGATGACACTAATATCCTTCTCCTCTGCTCCTCTCCCTGCAGACAAGAGGTCCCTGCAGCCGGACAATGCGCTGAACGTCGTCTCCTGCAAGGACGGCCGGCAGATGCTCACCATCGCCAAGGTCTCCAGGAAGGACGCGGGGCTGTATGAGTGTGCAGCCGCCAACGCCCTGGGCACGGCCATCAGCTCCTGCACGCTGGCTGTGGCACGTAAGGATGGGGGGGGACACCTTGGGGGACAGAGATGCTGCCCCACGGGGAGAGAGCAGGTGCCAGCCATGCACCCCAGGGCTGGGGACCCGTCAGAGCAGGTCCTTTGATCTCCACTCCCCATACCTGCAAAAGACTGGAACTTTTGAGAAGGGGACAGGCTGGTTTTGCACGGGCACTTCCAGCATCTCCGAGCCCACAAGTTGTGCTGCCCTCGCCCCGCAGCAGCTCTGCCCTGCCCCTGGCCGGGCACCCAGTCCACCCTGTCTGTCCTCTCACAGGGCTCCCTGGGCGGCCGGGAACCCCGGAGATCCCCCAGAAGTACAAGAACACGGTGCTGGTGCTGTGGAAGCCCGCGGAGAGCAAAGCCCCCTGCACCTACACGCTGGAGCGCAGGCTGGAGGGGATGTGGGGCTGCCTCCTGTTCCCCGGGAGCCGCAGACGGAAAGATGGGGTCACCGAGGGACACCAAGCCAGGACAAAAGTGCCCAGTGTCCTTGCTGTTCCCCGGGGTCCCGTGTCAGGTTGGGGGACAAGAGACTGCCCCTGGTCTGCCCCTGTCTCACCTTGCCCCCACACCGGCAGGGGAGCACGAGTGGAAGATCGTCAGCACTGGCATTGCTGACTGCTACTTCAACGTGACGGAGCTGCCCCCCGGGAGCACCGCCAAGTTTCGGGTGGCCTGTGTCAACAAAGCCGGGCAGGGGCCCTACAGCAACCCCTCGGGGAAGGTGCACCTCGAGGCGGCAGGTGGGCCAGCCCTGTCCTGTGGGACGTGGGGCAACTGTGGGGCTGGGTGTAGGGCTGTGGCCTCTGGGATGCTCTGGGGGTCCTTGAGTCCTGGAGGACCTCCCCCTCAGGGCTTTGGGGAACGGGGCATCGCTTACACCCTGGTCCTGGCTTACCCATGCCTGACTCACACCTCCCTTTGCTCCCTGCAGATGCCCGAGCTGTCCCAGCCAAGGACATCACCATCCCTGTCCCCGTCCCCGAGAAGGTGGCTTCCAGCCGGTCAACCCAGACGCCCGTGGGGCAGCTGGAGCCACCGGCTG